AAAATTCCTGCCTTTCTCTTAAATGCTGTGATCTGCTACCATCTGAGTCAGAAAATTCCTATGGCACAGATTGCCAGAGGCTTGGACGACAGGCCATACTTGGAAGAAAAGTGTCAACGCGTGCTCCCTCTGTTACTCTCTATTTCTTTTCTTCAGCATCTGCTGTCGGCCTGTGTGCAGGAGGAAAGATCAACCTGCTCTCTGAACATGGCCATTTTCATGTGTGGATACATTTTTTGAAAAACCTTATAATTCAGAGATCAGTAAAGACACTAAAGAAGTTTTTTTTGTTTTTAAGAGACACCGATGCGAAGATATGAAAGGCGGTATATTGTGAAATTCTTATCTTTGTAAAATATGAAAAAAATGCAAAGCAGAGCTTAAACAAGTGTAAACTACTCTTAATGTCTTTGAAGATTGTGGATAGGTAGTTTTCAGTTGGACCTCATGCAGCGCTCACATAATTAGCAATGTATGTGCTCAGTGAATTGACCTTGCTGAACTGCCAAAACGCAAAGTATAGAGCAAATAAACTAAAATCCTAAGGGAATTTAGGGAATCTACAGCAATGAAGTGTCTTTCTGTAACTGATGCCCTGCATTCCAACTCAAAAACCCCAGTGAAGGAATTTCATCATTTTGGGTGAATTAATCTTTAAATGAGGCCCTTTGACACTGTCTTAATAACATGAAAAATAGCTGGAGATCTAAAGTAACCTAAGTAATCATTAATTTTCTAAATGAAGGTTAGAAGGGCAGTTTCGGATCCATTTTTTCCTTTATCCTACTTTTCTGGTATTAATCAGCCTGTCCTTTGGCTCAACTGCGTGGGCATTAAGAGTATCCTATTACCATTGCAAATAAATGGAGCAATCAAAAAAAAAAAAAAAAATCTTTTCCACCTACATCATATAAGCTCTGCGAGAAAAAGGTTCTTTTTTTTGGTCCCTTATTTCAACAGCACAATAGAACTCGATTCCCAAATGGTTGACAAAAATTATTCTAGGTGAGGAAAGTTTATTAAGTTTTTCTCTTAATGCTTTGCCCTTAAGATATGCTATTGGAAATCTACAGCACTGAGAGCAGGCACAGTAATTCACATCTTTATTGTAAGGGTTCACTCTTTGCCTCTGCTATTTCAAAATTGTAGCAAATATCTGATTATACACTTCTGGGTTGTTGTCCAAGCCTCTGGAAGAGTCTCTCTATGGCCCTAAGCGATGTTTTTTTTACCCAGCTCTCTCATCTTCTCTCTCCAAAAAGTGCCAAGTGGATTAAAAATGGGGGTCTTAAGATATGTGCCTAATGAATCGCTGTGTTATGCCGCTTTTTTTTTTCCTGTAAGAGAAAAAAACCAAATATTGCAGTTTGAGGCAAGTTCTGAAATCCCTGATGTGCAACAACTGTGGTCTAAATGAGTTGAATGACTTTGCCTGGTCACAAGACAGAAAACATAAAACAGGAATAGCAGTGAAATGATCAGCTGGTGAAGCAGAGCTTTTGGCTAAGAGGAAAGATCTCTTCAGAGAACATGGTAGCACCTCAAGGCTTGACTAAAAAGACTGATATTACAGTCTATATGCTTTTCATTTATTGTATTAAACCTGTTCAGCAGCCCCAGATTGTCTGACCTGTGCGTGGGATTAGTTTCATATGGAGCTGTTATATTTCAGACGCCTAAAAGCAAAACCCACTTGACATCTGGGAGGAAAGGGCAGCAAATATATTACGAAATTTCATTAGTTCAATAGAAGTAAGGGTTCAACTAAAGGTGAAAAATAATCATGTTTTAAATGTCAATGGGTAGTATAGGTTATTACAGCATTACTTTACTCCTGCTTTTAATAGGGTATCACTGCTATTTTCAATTGGGTTGCACCAGTGTAACCTAGAAACAGAGCCCTGAGGCTGCTTTAATTTCTAGTAGGATATAAATTATTTGGAGATGAAATTCCATCAGTTTAATGGCACAGTGTCAAAAAGTTAAAGCAGCATCCATGAAAAACACAGATTTTTCTACCTATGTACAAATGTTGGTGCTTTTATTCAAGTCTGTATTTCACACTATGTCAGGAACCTACATGAAAGGCTCCGATTTCCTTGTGCTCAAAATCAAGCCCATCAATGCTATCAAACAATTCTCATCTGCCTTCCTCCTCTCAGCTGAGGAGGCTCAGAAACACATGGAAAAACAAGCAATTGTCTATAAATAGAATATCATAGAAGTTAGTAACGAAAATATGGCTCATTAGCCATTTTCCTGTCCCAGTATCTTCACAACCTTTCCTGATTTGGATTTCACCACAAATGTTTTACATAGGCTTATTCCAACAATCTGTGCAATTCAATGACACTTTAGTGTTTGCTTTAGTCCAGCCAATTTCTACACCTAGAAGAGACCTAGATGGACTTTCCAACTCCTCTATGATTTAAATGTGTTCTGGTACAAATATTCAGCTAGCAGAATATTCCCTCATTGCTATGGAGGCTACAATGCCCCTGTATCATTCATTAGTCTCAACTAAATGACAGCAATAATTAATTAAGGCAAAATTGCATTGAGTAGGATGGTCACCTTCAGTACAACTAAAAAATGTTCTGGTACAAAACAAGAGTCGTGCTATTCCTGCTCTCTCAAGATCTGCTGCAAATATAGGCTGACAGGTTAATAAAAGCATTTCTAAACAGTTGTAAGAAATCAGCCATCTGATTCCAGAATTCTGTTCCTCAGTTAACTTATGATTCAGCTACTGAAAACTTCAGTTTCCCATCTGTGAGACGACAAAACTGAATGAAAACAATATTAATATTTATGTTCTATATAGAAAAGGCTTTCAAAGCACGTTCATGAAGTGGAAAATAAAAGCAGAAGTTTATCCAGAACTTTCTGGCATTTTGCATATTTAAAATTTATCGGCCTTGCTGCCAGGATTTGTTGGCTGAAGAGCAGGAGATTGTATTATATAAAAGTTGTTAATATGGGTGGATGGTAATTTAACTTTTATACAATTTGAATGGTGTCTTTATTATGTGGGTCAGTTAATTTTAGCTACAGTTCACGCTGTTAAGTATTCCAAAATTACCCACAGGTGGGAAAAAATGTCTTTACTTGGTCTGGGTGAGATGTTTCATGATGGCAGTGTTTATGTCCTATATAAAGATCATTCAACAGAATGTGTGTGCACGTGCACACATATCAGAGGTACTGGTTAAAATTCTATGGATATGTAAATACAGGGAACTTCTTTTTGTTTAATTAATCATGTTGGTCTCTTATGCATAACAATATAAACTTGACAATGTTAACAATATAAACTTGACAAACATTAGAAATAGCTGATGGAAAATTAAACATTTAAACATCGATACATCCAACTGCTAAGATGGCATGAAGCGTTACTCTAAAGGCCCTCATTTACCCAGTGAGAGAACATGCAAAAAAAGAGCAGCTTCAACACATCTTTTCCTCCCATTCTCATAACAGCACAGGATAAACTTATATTATTACATTCATTTGCAGTTCAAGAGAGAAAACTCATCCTTTAGGCAAGAAGTGCAGGAACTGACTCTCCAGGCAGTACAAGCATAACTGGCTGAAATAGTCGGACGTTTGAATTCAAGCATCCCTATCAACAACAAATCTAAAGTAGTGACAGATACTTCTGTGTGAAAGCTGACACTATTTTTTCCTTTTTGCATGTTGAAAAAACCCACCACCACTACACAAGGCAGAAAAAATTCCAGCTGTTTACTTCCAGCTTCCATGTCCAGAACTGGGTGCAGTAGAGAAAATTCAGGATGAGAAGTCCTGATGAAAAGGATGAAATGATAATAGACTTCTTTCAAAAGATTACTACAGTTTCAGAACTTAATTTGGGTCTTAAATTGGGGGGAAAGAATGGTGGAGTGTGTGGAGTGTCAGTCTCTTGCTTTGGGGTGGAAAGAGTGAGAGATTTGGGTTTGCTTTCTGACTGTGTTACAGGAGTGATGCTCTGCTACCTTACTGGAAAAAGGAACTGCCCTTTCTTCTTTATCTGGATTACTAAAGGTATTCTAATTTAACTTGCAGTGTATATGACTGCTGTATAAACCCAACAGTGAAGCTGAGAAGGTTCATTTGTGTTTATGCACATTAAAAAAATATGCATTTCTCCAACAGTTCATCTCTGGATGTGTGCAGTGGACAACAACAGACTCACTCCCTAAGTGGTGGATGTTGTTTTTATAAGGCGCTCATTTGTTTTACTGCTGTGACTTGGCACCATCATGTGGCCACTTTTGAGTTTGCTCAATTAAAGCAACAACTTACACAGAAAAACATTTGCAATTAATTAATTCAAACTTACAAATATTTCAGTCTATTTTATATGGAGATATTAAATACTTTAAATATATATGACTGCTAAATAATAAAATAATAGTCTTCCAATTGTGCTTTTTTTTCCCTGAATCTGTTTGTTTAATCAAAGTTTCCCTCATGATCTTTAAGCCAGAAGTTGTTAGATTACAAAAGACATTTTCATTGCTTTGTTTTGATCAAAACTTTATCAATAGTGTACAAAAACTAGTATTATATGATAAACAGCTATGCTCTTCCTCTGTAGAAGAGCTTTGGAAATTATTTGCAGGCTTAAACAGGTCAGTATTTTCTGGTTTACATCAGAAATCCCAAAGGATTTGGAATGTCAGTAAATCTCCCAAGCATATTGTTCATATTGTGTGATCCACGCAGGTAGATCTCAGAACTCAAGTTAATCAGGTATTCCTTTTGCAAAGCTTCAGGGTCAAAATCAGAAGTAAGATATTTGTGATGTAAATTTATATTCTGATATGTTTGCATAACATCTTTAGGTAGGTATAAGAAGGTTTTACAAAGCATTAGTGTTCAAAAGGGCCAGAGCTGGAAAACTCCTTAAATTCAGTCTGTACAGAGGCACAACTTTATGCTTGTTAAAGGATTGCTGTGATTTAGTTGAGTGGAGTAATGAGAAACAGCCATGCAATTTATAAGAATACATTTTCACTATTTTTAAAAGATACATATACATTTAGAGTACTCTCAATAATGAAAAACATTTCATATTTTTGAGTACAATAATGGTAAATTTTATTCTGACATTTTTATGATAAAAAATATTGTTTCCATTGAAATATTGTACTGATATACTTTAAAGTATATACAAATAATATACAAATACAAAATTACAAATATTTTAATTGCAGACAAAAATAATCTAGAAATTTTGCAATAAATTGTACAAGCCTCTTTCTAAAAAGACTGCAGTAAAATAGAATGCAGTTTGTCAGATTCCTTAGGCTGAGGTGATGCCCACTTCTTCTTTACATACTGAATGTCTATCTGGCCAGCTTCCTTGGCCAGCACGATGCCCAACAATCCATTTGCTTTTTCTGGTTCTCCCAGTAGAGCCATAGCTACAACTCTGAAATAAGAAGAACAGGAGAGTGCTTTTTCACTGAGGCAAAATTAATAGAAATTGGTGCTTTCAAACATGTTTATACCAGGTTACTTACAGTCAACTGCATGATTCCTTTTTTTCTGTTCAAGTTCCAGTATATTCTTTAGCTTTTCACCAGTTGCAATCATTTCATGTAAATGAAATGCAATTCTTTTCCCACGGATTCCACTATCAATTTCTAACCGTGACTTGAAAGTTATTTCAAGCTTGTAAAAGTGAGTAATGTTTTATGGCATTTTCCAGTACAGTGCAACAAGTTTTAAAACTGTGATCTTTTCTCCCCAAACCAGCAGCACTTTGCTATAGGGACACTTTCAGTCAGAGGGAAATTCACCAAGGGTAACTTAAGCCCAGGGAAGGCAGAGCCCCCCAGCAGGACACCCATCAGGAAGGAAGGAGAATCTTCAATGCTTTAATTCAGTAAGGTTGAACAGAACTGCTGATGGGCATCAATCTACAGGTGATCAGGTCTCTACCCTGGCTCCTGGAACAGCACCGCGAGATGACCCTGGTGTTCTCTGTGGGGAATATGTGCCAGGCAAAAATATTCTTGTTTACTCTGTGACAACCATCACAATGTATTTCTTTAGGTTGGTAACCATACCATATAAAGGCATTTTAAAATGCTGTCCAACATCTTGCCTATTTTGAACTTAAATGAACTTAAAATCCAGTGATTTTAGTGGGAGCAAATTTTTTCTCTTCATACAAGCAGCAGCAGCTGCTCCCTCTACAGACATCTGTCCCGACTGGTAACACTATACCTGATTTTGATTTCTACTAACAGAACTTCTCCTTTATCAGACTGCATAAAATAATAAGTAAATGAACTAAAATTTAGCTCTCTGTAATTTAACACCTTCAGTACTTTACAAAACACAGTTAGAAAAGCCAACTCTAATGAACATTTAATGTCAAGCAAAAAAACCTCATGTAATAAAATTAATATTTTGTTAAAAAGAGAGCAATGCAATGCACTTACTTCACTGATGGAACAGTCTCCTTTGCCACAGGAAACAAATCATTTTCCAGAAGATCCCAAATGTAAATGTTGGATGATGCATCCAGGGCAAAGAACACAGCAGGTCTTGTTAAAGCCCATTGCAGGGCAATAACTGGCTGGCCATTTGTGCTGTAATTCCACTGCATGACAGGATACTCTGATGTCATCTGGTGTAATCTAATGCTTCCATCAGAACAGCCAACCTATATCACAGTCAAAAAGAAAATACCTTCTAGAACAAACTAAGCAATATAATAACTGCCTGTTCAACTCCTGAGAATAGCAAGCATATAAATAAAATCAGATATCTGACTCAAGTGGCACATGTCTCTCATATCTCACTCTGTGGATTTTATGTGGATTTTAGCTGTTGTATTTATGTATCAATATGTAATTCTGAGTTCAAAAGCAGTCACTGTACTGCTGTATGTAAGCATACCAGAGTATCCACTAATCCTGGGTTAAAGTCCCAATTTCCTATTTTACAATAAGTTCTCAAACTTCACTAATACCATCATCCAGCACAAGTTGACAGCAATCTGAACTGGGGCAGGGTCTGCTTAGTGCCACATGTACTCTGTAAAACCGAGAACAGCTTTCAATAGGACAGGTTGGGTTTAACACTATAATAATATTAAACTGATTCATAATAAACAACTAAATCCAAAGAGAGGCACATACCACTGCTTCCAGTTATTTTCTGATAACCTTTGTCTAACATTTACAAGTTTGCTCTAACCCATGTACAAAAGAAACTATTCTGTGAAAACAGAAAATGACCTCTTCTTACAATCCTGGGTTACCCCTACCTCTAGGAAGACTTCCTAGAATTTTCAAATTATTAATAAATTTTTACAATGACTCTGTAATTAGTGCTTACATTTAAAATCTTCATGGCAGATTGGAATTAGTGATGTAAATCAATTATCACATCTAGTTAAATATGTCAAATTAGAAATACTCCCTCAGCAAGTAATTAAGAAATGAAACTTCTATTAAAACTTTTTCATACCAAAAACAGTGGCTTTCCAAAAGGGAAGAAATCAATTGCAGTGATGCTTATTGATCTCAGTCCGCTCTCCTGGGGCCTGAATAGCTTTGGAACAACTTTTAAATCGTGTCTTGTACCGTGGCCTACCAGACCCTATGAACGATATAAAGAAAATTAATTAAGCAAAAGAAACCAAAATTTGCATTATAGGCATTACAACAGGAAGTTAAATAATTCACAGAGCTGTTACCTAAAAGATCCTTACTAGCTAACAAATTTTAACAGCTAACACATTTTAAAAATAGGTTTGAATTATAAATTTTATATACAACCTACTGGTGAAATTCCAACTAACTGGGACTCTTCCAAAACAAAAAATAAAAATGAGATGAATTTCAGCACATTACTCACTATGTTTGTCCCAACAACGAAATGATTGGGATTAGAAGGCAGAAATTTAATAGCCAGTGTCTGTGGCATTCTCTGGCGAACATCCTTTGGGAAAAGGCTGCAAAATCAGAAAGGGAAAAGATGACTTTAATACAGGAAGTTGTCTCCAAAAGCTATGCAAGCACATACAGAAACTCTTGATTTTAAATATGTATGGCTAGCTCTAGGAAGAAATGTGTATTAAAAAAAACCCTGAAAAATGACTAATGAAAATAATGTGAAATATGTCTTATATAACAGCAAATAAATAAAGTCTAGGGGGAATTAGCTTTGTGAGATACACATGTAAAACTGAAATGTCCCAGTGTTCTTACCTGTTATTCAGTTCCATAGTAGAGCTATGTACTAACTTCACTTTCCCTCCAGGAACTAAACCTAAAATTATATAAAATTATTATTTAAACTGATTTAAGCACTTTGCATTAAAAAGTGCAATCATTAAATTAAATCCTAAGGTAATAAATAAAAGGATATTTCATAATTCAATTGTTTACTGTGGATATAGTTTTTGATACGTAAGAATCTTACATCATTTACAAGTTTTTACTTCAGAATCCAAATCTGAAGAGTTGTAATTTCTGACAGAAATTGGAAACAGGATTACATATTTGTTTTAGTTTTGCAGCATGAATATAACATCCTGTAATATCACTCCATAAAACCCAATTCTAGTAATGCTTAAAATGTACATTTGAGTCACTTGCATCTTTGACAATGAATTTTAGTAATGAGAAACTGTAATAATACTTCCACAAACTTGGTCTATTTTGCTTGTTAGTAGAGAATAGCATAAATACTTAAAATCCTTCAAAGACAAAGAAAGCTGGTCACAGTAAAACTTTGACAAAACATGACCACAACTTTAAAATGTACCTCTCCACAGACATAATACCCAGCTTTAGCAGCTTAATATAGCCTGACATTGCACACAAGCTTATAGAAAACTGATCAAAAATTCTGGTTTGTTGGCATGACTTCATTGCTTATTTATGTATTTTCAAATATATCAGGATTTTAATCACAGCCTTTTCCATTTAGGTGAGTATGTAAGTCTTAAGTTTGTTTAAAGAATGAAGAATGTATTTTGCTTTATTCACTTAACTCAAAAAAGGTTGAATGGACTCGGTTCTTTATTTTTTCATGGAAACTTTTTTCTCACACTAAATTAAGTACCTTACCCAAAAGAGAACTTTTAGGACAATTATCAAAATGGAGATTCAGGCAACAGCAAAAGCATTGTAACAGATTTGTTAAAACTAAAGAAAGGAGAACCAAAGACATAGAATCTTATATTCTTTGAAAATAAAGCTCTTAGGGATATGGAAAACTGCTATGAAATTATAAGAAATAGCAGTGAAAATAATTCTTATTATACCTAACCAATAACCCCAAACATCAGATATGTACTGTTCAGAATTAATCTTTTCCTCAGCAATTTTTCCTTCTTCTAAACTACTGCCTGGTATCACTGACTCTCTCCCTTCTAACATTATAGTCTCAAAACTGGAGCATTTTATTCTACCTTTAATGTACAGTACTCACCTAAATCAGTTTGTGAACCAGCTAAATCCACTTTTTGCAATTCAACAACTACCTGAAAAGTCAATATTTAACATTAATAAACAATCAGTATTTACCAGACCTCAAAGTTTTTTAACCATTTGTAATAATGGATGATAAAACTCTAATTCTCTGCAATTCTAGAAATAGCTTCCCATGCCTGCTGGAAAAAAAGACTGAAAACATCTGATAGAAAGAAGAGTAATTAAGAAGGACAGTAATTAAGAGTAACAGACCTCGTGCCTTCCTGGGCATCATACTTTAGGCAAGGCAATCTTTACCACTGATTTTCACTCTTTGTCTCTTGAACATTTGTTTTATATAAACTATGAATGCAATTTCTCCCCTACATTCAGTAAGTCTCTGACACCACTGTGATTCCAAAACAAAGTAGATGGGTGAAAGACGACTGAGGTCTGTTATTCAATTAATAGAAATATGTGAACATATTTCTATTAAGTAAAGCTACTGATTGCCTGTTTTCATGAATTCATGTACCTGTTGATAGTTTTTCCTAAGGACAACATTAGGGAGTCAGGTCAAAAATATTAAGGAGAATTCCAACAGAATGGCTAATGCTGCTGTACTTTTCAGGGAGGAAATTCTCATCAGAAATTCTGAATTTGAGTTGCTATATTTGAAGTATTTTATTGTTCCAACACATTATACTCTTCATACATATATTACTCACCCACATATTGAGGATTCCATTTTCATCCATTGAAGCTATCTGAAATGGAGGGCCTGACACTTCTACGGAAGGAACGGCAACAATTTATATTTGTACATTGACCTTCCTGCTGAACAATATCAGGGGATTTAAAACATTTCCTACATTAATATATTCCCTGAAACTTCTACAATCCTCTCAGCTGCCTCTAAAGGGCAAGTGGTCTAATTCTACCAAGGCAAAAAAAGGTATGAAACTTTCTTTACTGCGAGGGTGGTTTAAACACTGAACAGGCCTCCTAGAGAGGTGGTCAATGCCCCAAGCCTGTCAGTGCTTAGGGGGCATTTGGGCAATGCCTTTACCATGTTTTAACTTGGTCAGCCCCAGACTGGGCAGGCAGTTGGACTGGATGACCCTTGTAGGTCCCTTCCAACTCCAACAGTCTGTTCTATATCTCTATCTATTCTAAAATGTGCAGTTTGTCCTACCAGAAAGGCAGATGATCTCTGTCTGCATCTTTTAAAAATGTCTGGATTCTGCATGGACTTTGAAAAGGAACATAAAGTGCAACAGATGAAATGTTGTAAAACCTGCAACATGAAGCACATTTTTTTAACCACTACAGATTTCAAAATACAAATCTGAAATGGAAGTAATAATGCCTCCTCCAGCTCACTGTCTGAGAATTTGAGGACATGAGGATTAGAATGTTTTTTGCCAAGGTTGGTCACAAAAAAATAGGCAAAAGGTACAGAAAAAACCATCAAGTACAGTCACACATTTTATGTGCTTTCAGATATGAGCAAATTGCTTCACTGACTCAGACAGAGATTTTTTTCTGGCATTATAGAAACATTAGGACTTTTCTAAAGGCAGTTTTTGAGTGATAACCAGTTTTATCATGGAAGAATAAAACATTGTCTGGAAAGCAGACATTATAGCAAGCATGCACCCACATCTGACGTGAAGCTGCACTGAATGAACGTTACCTAAAAATGAGGGCAGAAAACAAACATGGATTTGTGTGCAGTTGATACTACAGACAAGAGGCAAAGCAGGATTATAAACTGACTTTTGACTATGAAATGTTTGCTTCACTAGATCCCTAAAGAAAGACTCAGATGGACTGATGCTCTGAGGAGTAGCTTACATACCCTCCTGATAGGAGAGGCTTGAGAGCCCAAAACTGCGATCGGTGTCTAGAGAGGTTGAGACGGGTTCCACTGCAAGAACAGGAGAGGTGTGGGTCACTGAGCTTAGAATGCCATCTGTAATTAAGGACAATGAAAGTTAAACATGATACTGCTTTCAACAAAAACCAGCAACAAAACCTTAATCGCTTTTCAGCTTATGGGAGAATGGTGATAACATAAAAAGAATGGTAAATAATGGACTTCATAAAGAATGTCTTTGCAAAAGTCTCCGACAAAATACTGCAAACTGTTTCCTAAACTAACAAAATACTACTAGATAAATCAATGTTTCAATATTTCTGTTTACTTCTCATTTTCCAAATGACTGCTGCACCATTAATGACACTGTACCAGACACTGCATTAAAGTCTTCCATTTCAGGGTTAGCATGAAAAGAATTATGATAATTTCAAGCTTCATAAAAAATAGTAGTAGAAATAAATCACTGCTTAACATAAAAAAGAAAAAATCAAAGAAAAACTACTCTTAATAGAAATTAACTACCCTGAAACAAAGAATTCACCATGAGAAAAATACGTATTTACCCTTTAAGAACATTTTAAACTAAATGTGTATTTAGAGCAATTTTAATAAGTGTTCTTTCTCAGATACTTGTGATTTCTGGACTTTTCCTGTGCACTGAACTTAATTTCATTTAAGACTAAAGGCATAAAGCTTTGTAAGTATATAACATTAAACCTGCCTGTTTATATAAGCAACTACATGAAACTGTACCCATACACTTGACTACTAGCCCAGTGTGCAACACAAAATCAAGCATTTTTGACCTACTTAAAAAATTAGCTCTGTCAACAGCAAACTAGTGTTTATTTTTACATGGCTCCTGCAATCAGATACTCTTGTGAAGAAAAGAGGATTTTGTGAATGTGTTTAAGTCAAATCAGAGAAATCTTAATATATGTGTTTAGATGTAGATCAAAAAATGTAGGTTATATTAGGGGATACAGCATATTGAAAGCTAATGATTTCAGATGAGGTACTTGTTGAGTAGTCCATTTGAATATTCCAATGCTCCTTAGGTTTTATAGCTGGTCCACCTCTCTATTCTCACTGCTTGATGCACACTGAGCTGGCTTACATTTCTGTACAGCTATTAATTACTGACAATTTTTATGAGACTAAATATAAACCTTGGACTTGCTAAAGTGGGAATTATTTCACTGCACACAAAATGACTAACCAGAATGCACAGATACTAACCTGTGGAAAATGTTGGAACTCTAAATGTCCAGTCAGTTCCACTCATCATCACATGAGGGTGCATTCTTGAGTCTTCTCGAAGATCCCAGACCAACAATGAACCATCTATTGTTCCAGCAAAAACTAATGTTGTTTTACTGGGGCTAAAGCAGCAACATAACACCTGTTAAACAGTAAAAACATGCATGGTTGGCATTATGATAAAGGCATATGTGACAGGCCTGAAATACATTTGTACTTCCCAGGGTCATTCCTATACAGGTTACACGTGTTCGTGGCAAAAGGGCAATTTATTTTAAAAGGGGATGTAGGACAGAAGACTTTCAGCAGGCCTTGCCTTTTCAAGAAAATTGTTTTGTAATCTGCATCTACTACAAAAACACTGGAGGGGGTGACTCAGCTGGAATGACAGTGATGGGTAGAGAGAAGTCCTGACGACATCTGAACCAGATGTTTTACTTTCATTCACTCTCCAACCATGAAGCAGAGTCCAAATTAAACAACCAGAACAACAAAACACCATGACCATCACTACAACTTTTGTTCTGGAGCACAAAACAGAATGAGAAGAGTGTTTTGTTCACTAGGCTGTAATGTGTTTCTCAAAAGATGGCACATCTTGCAGCAAGACAAAAAACCCCAAAATATACAGAAGAAAGCTTTTCTTTATATATATAATATAACCCATATATACAATGGGTATGTACATATATACAATACATACAACGTTATTAAAACATACCTCTGAGTCACATATTAAAACTTTCTGAGGACTGGAGGGCTGCCAGATGTTCCAAACACATATGAGGCTCTTTCTGTTCAGTAAGTCCACACCTGCCTTTTCAGGTAATCCATGAACAGAAAGTAGTGCTTGCCTCTGAACTTGAGAGACATATAGGCAGGATATTTTTCGGTCTAAACCATTAAGAAAAAGTCAAGAAAGAAAAGCAATAAATAAAACAGCAAACTCACTACAGATGAAAAAGCACATTTAGCTGCTATAGCAACAAACAAAGGAACTAAGATGCAATTATGAAGAATATTTCTATTAGGAGCGGGTTGCTTTTGAAGCTATGCAATAAAAAAGGAGGGACTAGAGAAGGATTCCAAAATATCATAAGTGAGTAGAAAACAAAAAGCAAGGCAGTCAGGAAGTTAATAGAATAATTATTCTGGGCATAAGCAAGCCAATCTGATCTGACGTCAGTCTATATACTGAAAATGAAGCTGAGTCTCAACCAGGAAACAGCACAGGCCAGGTTTTTGCTGGGTCATCTCATGTGTTCGTGTTAGATTAGGTGTGTCATAGGCCTTCCTAACATAATTACAGATGCTCTATTTTTCATTTTTATTTTCCTCTGAACAGCTACTGTTTATATGGGGAAGATATAATTGCTTTTCCAACATATCAGGTGATATTCTCCCTTCTCAATAACCTGCCTTTATTTACAATTTGGGCCCTACTGTCAGCATAAAGAGCTCAAACAAAATTACACCCCTTGGAATGGCCCCTCAACAACAGGGGCAAGAAATTCCATGCATCATGCTAATTGCTGGCTATATTTCTGATAGGAATAGCTGGGAAATATTTCTTGCAGGATGCTCTGATGTTACCTATGTGAAACAGTAGGATTAGTGTAATTAAAAGAAGAGTGGGGTTTCCATCATCTGTATATCCTGATATGTGCTGTTTGCACAGTTATGTCAAAGAGCATGATATTTTGCAAAGAAAGAAGAGTTCACTCTGTACACTAAAAGGTGTAGAATAAAATTCCCTTACCATGGAGGAATGGCTGGTTAGTATTTAACTGGAAACAGCTATCACTAATAGACAGACTGGCTTGTCGAGATCTTAGCTTCCTGGGTTGTGTTGCAACTTGATCTTCCTCTAGCAAAACAGCAATCACCTTTCAAACATAATTACATTTATAGAAGTAAAAGGGTCATCTTATCTTTCAGCTTTGCTATTTTTAGCTCTTCCAAAGCTACGTGGATAAATTTAATAAACCTTTATCAACTCTTGTTAATTTTGTGTCTTTGCAAACACAGTTTACAGACACAGAGGCTGCACAGCTCTGATTCCATTCCTTTGCAGAGAGATGAATCTCATTGATAATGAGTATTATTTAAGTAATTTATGTAAATTAGTCAGAATAAGAGCTGTAAGGGATCTATCACAATGTATATTTATGCACACAGTTCACAAGGGATATTAAGGACACAAAAGTACCTGGCAGGCAGACCGGAGGAAATTTGCTAATCTTTGTGAATCAATTTTAGGTGTTAAAACTCCATTCACTGACATATCCTGGCTGTTTCTGGGACCTACAGAAAACCAAAAAAAAAACAAACCAAAAATCAAACTTGAGGCTTTAAAAGGGAATCAGTTAAGGAAAGTGGAAGAACAATTTAATTTTTGAGCACGAGTGGTAGGAGTCAGCTTTTCTTCAGCAGGAATAGTAGTGTTGAAGACACTACTGGGGAATCATTTTTGCTGCCAACAGAAACAGCAAGTCAGAAGGAAGAATTGTTTCTGCCACTTATTCTTCATCCCCCTCCCCATGGGGACTCCGAGTGCCTCCGGCAGTTTGGTATCATTGCAGCCTGACACACTACACATTCTCACAATTAATGCACAAAAAAAGAGAAAGTTTACATGACACAAACACATCCATAAAGGAGTAAGATTAAAATGTTCTTCACCTCCAGATACAAGAGAACTTTCTCCTGGATGCTGTGTCCATTTCTCCAGTGTCTCAACTTCCTCAGTCTGAATGTCTCTATCAAGATTGTCCTCGTTGCACTGAACGTACGCCTAAGGTAGAAAGAGAAAGTGATCAGTAAATGGGTGACACAGCTAAGAATGACAACACATAACTGAATAGGACTTTGTAATTTTAAAACTGATGGGCTCAGCCTCTTTTGTTTGTAAATTCAGACCTAAGCATACTGACACGCTGTCCCTATTTTGTGCATGCACGTTCTACCACATTTCACACAAGAGTGCAAAAACACAAAATGTCTCACATGATGCATAAACACCAAGCCAGCATATCTGGGAACACTGAGCCACAGACAGTCAGAAAGCCCTTTAGAAAACGGGGAAGGAAAATGAGAGAGTCCTCTTCTAACACAGAAATTAAATGGTCTGTCTGGCCAAAAGTTTTGACATGGTTGGTTTATGGTAATTAGAGCTTAGAGATGAAAATTATTAATTGATTATTCTACTGTTCTATTAGCTTTAGGAACTTTCTTTTTAAGGAAAATTATCTTCCAGAACAAGCATCAGCACTTTCAGGATATAAGTATCACTGTACATTTGTTACTCACCTGCTTAGTGTTCATTTTACCAAAATTCCTGATATACATGTCGTACTCATTTACAGGGGGCAAATCCAGTAATGAGAAACTAACTGAGAAATCCAGGTCAATTAGTGGGAGAAGTTCTGAACTCCGTTTTCTTTAGAATTAATTACAAGAGAGAAAAAAAAAAATGGTTAAGACCAAGTATTTGGTATTCCAAAAGAAAGGCAATATGATTTTGTACAGTACCAGAGATCTAACAATCCTTTAATCTGTGTGAATTGTACAAAAATTAATTGGCAGATCAAAATACATCAATAGAAGTATATAGAATATCATTATGAGTTTTCATATTTCATAATTATCATGTTTGAAAATGCAATCCAGATTGCAAACGGCAAACATGGTTTATGATTAAACCCTAACTGTCAAAAGCCCAGCAGATTATCTTTTCTAAGTATTCAGAAGCTGTTCTGTGAGGTAAGAGATGAATGTCTCTTCCACTAGTGAGGATGGTGGCTAATTCTCCTAAACTCCTTTTATTAACTTGCATCACTTATATATGTACATGCTTTATAAAGTTCCTCTAAATATCCTGGTTTTGTTAGAAATGTAAAAATGTATCTTGAATGACCTCCATTTGCAGTAGAACAAACTGCCTGAATTTGTACCTCTTTGCATCACTAAGGAAACAAATAACAGTAGCAGTTTATCAATCTTGAAATATATTTTAAATATACAAATGCAATTTATTGCTGATTCCAAACCTGTGGCCATGAATACTGATCTCTTGCCCTAAAAGCAGGCCTCCAAAAAACTTCAGTTATTGGAGTGTTGGATTTGATCTAAAGTGTATGAAAACAAGTATTTGAGATTGAGGGAGACTGTGTATTTTTCCACTTGTATTTTTAGTTTTGAGTAAGATTAGCACCTTGTACAGGATTTGAGATACCTGAATCTCTTTGTCCTATGAAACACCAAATCTTTCCATCTTCCTAAATTCTGTTCCTGGAGTGATAAAAAAATAACTCAACTGCCTTATCCATCTTCCCTCAATCCTTTTATTTTCTGCCTATCTTAATTTTTATTTTTTTTCATCTTTACTCACAAATAAAACTATAGTTTGATTCTTAACTGGAAAACAAGTCTACCTTCATACACTGTATCTTGCTCTGTTAAGTAAAAAAAGAATTTATGTGATATTATTATCATCAACTACAAAGAGATTCCTATCATTCAACTTGTGTGGGATGTGTGGATAATGATAAGACTGACAATCTTTGTTACAATTCATATGACTATCTACCTGTAATGGCATAAAGCTGTTAAGATATTTCATTTTAAGCGAAAACTGCTTGAGTTACATGCAGACGTCAGTTTACAAGTTAATTCCAGGCTCTTCCTATAGTGCAAATCCCTTGACAACAAAAAAATTTTTGCAGCCTCCCTGTCTCTCTCTTGTACTTTCAGGTTTTTTTTTCATGTACTTAAAAACTATAAATAAATACAAACCAGATACATCTCTTTTTTTGCTACTTGATGACATCTATTGCATTTTCTTACACAAATTTTATTTTAACTTTTGCTTCTTAACATATCACCTCTTCACAAACGTGGGCACAGATTGCTAAGATCTTACTCAAACACACAAAAGTTGCTTCCTAGTTGCAAATCTGAGTGGAACATGCAGACAAATCCTTAAAATAAACTAATAAGCTCATATTATTTCTTACAACTCCAAAATGCCACAGCTCATTTAAGGGAAGCTTTCAGCCTATTTACTGGCAGTAATGTATTATCACAGCATTAAATTCCACAGCTCCTTTCTCTCTCCATCCAAAGGCTTTGTATCTTCACAGGTTATTTATGTTGTCAGCATGTACAGAGTTATATACATAGCCATGATCAGCCACAGTACACAATCACTAGAGGCTGAAAAACATTCCAGTAGGTAATTCTTCAGAGATGCCTTCCTGAGTTTCCTAATCCATCTCCACCATCTAGAGAGGAAGCCCAGACAATGACCTTGTGTAAAATTTGGGCACATAAATTTAGGCAAGGTGAATTAGACAGCTTAGACAATAAAATTCTCCTTATGTGCAGATTAATCACTGATGTGCAGCCATGAAACAGCGGAATCTGTTATTAACAATAACATTTAATAATCCTGCTTTATGCATCCAAGTACTGCAACAGAAAACTGGAGGCAGATACAGAGCTTCAGATAAACCTGGAGCTCCTGGCAAGTTCCACAAAAACCAAACATCAGTTTGTTTCTTTAAAATACAGGGATGTCTTAGATATCTCAAATCTAGATCACTTTTAGATCAGTAATAACATGTTTTTACACCAACTGGTGTTATCCCTGAAAAGGAACATGCTATTTTGGCAACAGTATGCACCACAAAGTGTCTTGATTATTTCAAGGAATTTACAGTTCTGCAGAGACCCAACAGCAGCTAAAGGCTCGCTCTTTAGTACTTTAGGTCAATATCTTATTAAGTGATTGAAGATCAATGATGCACATAAACTGATACATAGATAAATTTCTGTTACAAAATTTTATGTAGCAAAGCCTGTCCATTACACTTACATAAGAACTAATTACTGCTAGCCAACAAAATAATATTTGATTCTATAAGCTTCAAGTTTATAAAGTTCACATACTTCAAATACAATGAAAAAATTTACATCTGACATAGTGTGCTGCCATTTTGTGTGGATTATTTAGAATACACTTACATCTGCTTACTGGCCATCCTTCGGCTACATTGTCGTTGGTTTGCCATTTGAAAATCCATGAATATTCCACAAAAAGAGTTTCTGACAGTTTCTGACTGGTTTTCTGTGATATTATACAACATTGTTATTATTACAGTTCACACTTTACAGTGCATGAAAATGTAAAGCAGTAAGTCTGAAAAGCAACAGATTTATTACAACACAGTAAGCAAAACTGACTCATTTGCAGGCTACACAAAGTGCTCCCTCACAGCTTTCAGGATAATGAGCTTCACTTCAGCAGTGGGCCGGGATATGCCCCTTATTATGGTCTTTTATCAATCAATTCAAAATGACTGACCATAGCAATTTTTGGTTTAGAAGACTGTGATGCAGAAAGGGCCTCTTTCTTTCTCTTGCCATTAGCAGGTCCCTTGTTCCCCCATGCACAGTAAAATGCCCTATGATCAATCCTAAAAATCCTACCAAATTCACACAGACTTCCCCCTCTAAATGAAAATTCATCACTAGGGGTAGTGGAGAACCCCATCAGCAAAAGCTTAACTAATATCCTTGGATGAATAAGGAAAACACTGAAAAATGTTCCTTCAAAAGCCACAGTTAATAGACCAACTACAATAACTGTTGTCATGTCTATTTTGCTCCCTTTTCAGGCTAAGTGGTAGCTAATTGACCCTAATATCCAACTTCCAGTCAGGACTAATGGTGTTTCCCTTCCTCAAAGGAAGGCTGCCTTTTTAGGCAATACTTGTAATATGCTTTTAAACTTCTAAAAATAATTACCAGAATGATCAACAACCATTTTAAGCAAATGAGGTTGAAACTTCGTCAAAAAAAACATGTGTTGTGTAAATTAGAATAAAGCACCAAATGCTACAATTCTGACATTTAAAAATCTGATTCTATATTAGAATGTCACCCTGTTCATTAATGTCCTAGTATCCTGCCCTATAGCACTAATAGAACAAATTTATTGATTCCATAATGCTTATTAGAAAAATAATAATTGCATAAATCTTCTGCAAGAAGAAATTCACATTACTAGTACTGACTGCAATGACTTTTTTACTAAACCGAAAATCTACTGACAGAATCACAGAATTTTCTAGGCAGGAAAAGACCTTTGAGAGATACTGCAAAGACTCACAGAAACTCCATGCTATTTTTCCAGGGCTATACTAACGGTGTATGAACCAGACTAAAAAGCTCTTTACTATTCTTTTGCACAGTGATTTGCACAGTCATTCACATGAGTGTGGAGTGCAAAGAGGAACCACAACTGTAGGAAAATAAGTAGCTCTGGCACTCCCAGGTGTCAGATCAACTGAATGCAAGACAACACTGCAGAAAGAGCCTGCATTAAAAGCTATGTAGGACCAGATATGTCAGTAGTATCGATGCTTCTCTCACCTTCCCACCCAGAGCAGCGGCTTCAACTTTGCTTAAAAGAAAAAGGTGATTTAATGCCAGCGGAAGCCCCAAACTGTTCTAACACTCCTCCAGTTTTCAAAATCCAGACTCTCATATCCCTTCCTCTTACCCAAAATAAGAAGTATTAAATGTCAGTCTGTACATTTTTATGCTTCACATTTTAGATGATTAGTAATGCCTCTGAATCATTCTTCAGTAACGTGGAAGTTGCAGTGCTTACCCACAAACCCCAGTGACTCATCCAGAGCACCAGACTTTGTCTTTAGGCAGACTTCTAGAAAAAGTGGCCTGTTTACTCCTAAGTTGTATGTGTTACTCATACATTTTATAAAAAGATTGGTATCTAGTCACATACCCATGATTGGTTCCTTTTTTTCATCTTCAAGTTTCTTCAGCGGTGAAATAAAAATTCTATCATTTTCTGCACTAATTGCTCTTTGAATTTCTTCAATTTCTGATGTTCTGGAAAATGGAATCTCCCTTAGGTTTTCTTCTGCATATCTTTCTTCCCCACTTTTGTCTTCGTCATCTTCAAAATCATCTTCATAGTCCTTGAAAAGTAACAGAACTTTCAATAACTAATAAACATGGATTATAGATGTAATTTTCCAAGATCTTTTAAAGAAATTATAAGATGCTGTCAAAATAAAAATCTCATGCAAATGGCTATAAATCCTCTGACTGAAAGGCAGTCTAAAATAGTTGTTTGATAGAAATGAAATGGCATCTCTCGATTGTACAGTAATTTTCAGCAAGATAAGACAATCCCCAAATGTTGTTCTTCAGTGCCCAGAATAATCTTTCTGAATATCCTAGAGTAGAATCTATATATTTAAGTGAATTATGTGTTCCTTAAAGAGATAAAATGATGATGTTCAGTGCATAAATGCTTCAGGGATGTACGAAGTCACTGATATGACAGTTTTAATTCAAGCTGCCCTTTAATGGCAAGTTCAGATTTACTAAACTGCCACACTGTCTGTTTGCAAGTCCACGCACAAGGCTCATACTTTAATAATTCTATTAACTAAGACAATTTATCTCATGCCAATCTCATGTTCATATCACCAATGATATGAACAAGTCCTTAATGTGCTCATTTCTCTCCACTGAATGGTAAAGGGCTACTGATGAAAGCTAAATAAATAAAGCAGAGAATTTCTACATAACATTTTAATTCCTCATTATCTGCTGTTAGCCAAGTTAAAGGTCACTGTCACAAAAAAACCCCAAAACTAAAATCTATGTAATATCCTGCAATTTTAATTTCTCTGAGCAGTTATTCACTATTTTGATACTCCAGAATTACTCCACAGACAACTGTATGCTTTTACTTACTTCAAAATCATCTTCATAATTTGCTGCAAAGTCATCATGTCCTGTGTCTGAATTATAGATGTGTGTATCTTTCATTTCCTGAATGAGAAAAATAAGTGAAGCTGTTAAATAATCTTACAAAAAAATCTTTATCTCCCAAACCCTAGCATAAAATAGGTTAATAGCTGTTGTTCTCAGGTATTTCTATATTTTCAACCAAACATACAGCATATAGTTTATAAATATAATAAGTGTATTAACAAGGGATAATTACTGAGTTAAACTAATAATCCAGTAAGAAAAACATAACTCAACCTCATCTTGTGAAGAGCAACTTTTTCCACCAGTATTTTTACTGGAAGAGACATAAAAACTGCTGTGTTGCCTAGAATTTCCATGATAGTGTAACAACAAAATAAGACTGCTCTACTTTTTTGAGTATTAGACAAAATTATCCCTATCCTTAAATTTTACTAGGGGACTCATATTGTTAATAAAATAGTGCAAGTGTTGAAACCAGGAAAACAGAGACATGGATACAACAGGAAAATCTTATATTTTTATACATAAACGACTCTGTTAACATTGAATTCTCTACTTTATTTACATGGAATAAAATTTATAGTATCCCTGAAAAAGCTTCAAAGAAATTTCCTTTCTCTAGCTTATTAACTTGATTAAAACAATGCCATTTATTTACCCAAACACATCCCACAAACAAGCGAGAAGCTTAAAATGACACACACTGATCTCTATACAACCTTTAATCAGCTTTTTTTCCTCAATGGCATCTTCAAAGTCATGGATTAAATTATCCACATATCAGGGCTTTCGACAGGTTGCAAAATGGAAATAAACACGAGGTTTTATGAAAATTATCCAGCACAACAGCACACCTATTACCTGGTTCTAGCAGGATAGCAGCTGGTTGTCAAGTTAGACACAGCTTTGATCCTTCTGTGACTTCCCAAAAGCTACAGCCAACTAGTTTTCTCAGGATGTAGTAATTACACAAGTATTAAGGACACTATACAGCAGTAAACAGCTTGTACAGATACCTTACTTTTCATAACTATCAGACTCCTGAAACTAGTAGGATTAGGATTATAGTACCTCTAGTTGCCACTTTTTGTCATTTCTCAACTCAACCTTTGGATTAACAACAAATTATGTAAGTCAAATTGTCCATCTGGGCAAAACTGGCCAAAATTTCTCTAATTTGTTCTGCCTGCAAGGTTCCAGGTACTCAGCAATAACTAATTCATATAGTATAATTCATGCCATTTTAAAAAGCCTTATTCCATTTAGTAACACACTTATAAAGATGGTTATAGTCTTTGTTACCTTACTGTAATCATCTCAGAATTATGCCTACAGAGCAGCCATTTTTATTAATAACACAGTTGTTTTTAACATTCCATCTTAAACATTTTTTTTCTACACACTATAAACCTCCACCTGTCAGCATTTGTCTGGGGTCCTACTCTAAAGTATAAAGGGAGAATATATTGTCAGCACCAGGCAGGATTAGGAAGTCATGTTGGAACACCTGGATGGCAGTGGCACTTGGAGTAACAAACATACAAACAAAATCAACAGCATAAATTGTAAACCCCTGGAATTTGATTTAATTCTCCCTGTTGAGTGAGGTCTTAAGTAGGGATTTCATCCTCCCAAGTTGCCTCCTATTGCCAATGAAGACAGAGAAGATAATGGAGGAGACCAAATAAAAATAGGACAAAACATTTTAAAACGTGTATGGTAAAGTTAGAGACTGTATCTGCACAGACTGGTAAAAATAAACTCAAGTCTACAGAGCTTGCACTTCAAACTTGCTGAAAATTTGCTTCTGTCTGCAACTGTCCACTGAAAAATTTAAAAATACTTTCCCCTTTCTTGTGGCAAATGCTTTAAGAGACATATATGAATTACATTGTTAGCTGCATTTTCTTGGCTTACATTTATCTATTATTTGCCTGCGTCAATTCTTCACAGAAAGAGATAACAAATACTTTAGGTGGCTATAGATGATTTGTATGACACATCTAGACTCTTCCCCCTCATTGAGTCACTTTTTCAAGCATCGAAGATACTGAAATACAGTTGAATAGATGGCTACCTGCAATGTTTAGCAAATTTATACAGAAGAAATAAATTTTCTAATGCTGTATCCAGGAAGGCAGATTAGGAGATGCCTGAAGACCAGTATATAAATCCCACATTATCTTTGAATGCATTATATTGAAACACAAATCTTAATTGTTATTCATCTCGATACAAATGGACCATTCTAAGTTTTAAAAACCAAATAGTTTTACCTCTTGTCTTGTGTCCTTTTCCTCTTTTTCAATGAGTTTTCCTTTATCTTTTACAGTCCTATTGAAAAAGAAGAGAATATCAATTTTATTGGTTAACTCAGAAGACAGCAGTTCTGTTTTGGTTTTGTCTTCTCTGGGTTTTGTTTGTTTTGAAAAAAAAAAAGTATTTTTTCATGAAAAGGAAAAAAACACTTGAAAATTTTGAATAAACTGAGGTATTTCTACTAATATTTCTACAGATCTCTATTACATAGAATTATAATAAAACATTCAAGTGAATAATCAGCTAAGAACTGCAAAAATGTTGTCCAAATTTAACACCTGTAATTGCATCAAAATGGAAGAAAAAGTAAGGAGCAAAAAAACCTATGAAACCCACACATTTATGACTTGTATTAATGTCTGCAGTGAACTGGAGATCAAGAGCAGGCTGGTGCAATGTGCTCTAAAACCATAAACCACAGACTGACTTCAAACCTCTGCTTTCATTGAGGAGTTTTATTTATGAGGAAAATGCAATCAGGGTCAGAGAGCAGGAGAAAATTAACAACCCACTCTGTTCCTTAATAACCTATTTGATTATTTTACGAGTATCAGACTTCAAGAAGAGAATGTTTTGACTTATTGAATATTCCTATAACTGCTGTTGGGACTGATAAACACAGGAAAAAGCAACAATACAAATTAAAATTGGGCTGGATCCTGCCATAACAGATTAGAATGATTCAACATTAACAGTGTTTGAAGCTGAACCAGGGGTTTGGGACATCCCACTGAATCAGATTGCCTTCCTTGCCATTCAGAAATGGTTCACTCCCTTTTCCCAGCTGTGCACTAACAGTGACTCGCCCACAACTTCCCATCTGCAACAGCTTCAAAACACTGCCTGAACACTCAGCACTGCTGACACAGCTGAGTGCTGCAGCCAGGGAGCATCCCAACATGTGTATTCTGAAATATGCCATGGTTTTTCTTTTGTACAGAAATACACTTCAGCAGTGACAATTTCACTGGAGCCAAAGGGATCTGTGCCACGCTTAAGATTAGTAATAATCAACAGTGGCAGTGACTTCACTGTCTGCCAGTGTCCCCAGAAGCCACCACACCAGGCTTCTACTGAGTTAGGAACCTAAACGAGGGTTTAAGAATGAGAACTGAAACTAACAATGTTCCTGGAGAGTTAAGACTTCATAAAGTTACATATGTATGTCACATGGTCTGAGAATTAAATAATGCAAAGAGAATTGGAATGTACAGGAAACTTCTGTAAGATTTTATATTTGCTAGTAATAAAACTTGGAAATATAATCCTGAAATTTTACTGAGGATGACTTGGACCTTTCCCTTTCATATACAACTGCAAAATTCTGATATATATATATATATATCTAATGTTTTAGATACTATCCAGGAGAGGAACTCAGTGTAGACATTCAAATTAAAACAAACAACATAAGGGAGTCCTATGGAGTTTATCATGAACCTTACATGTGTCCACGTGACTGTATCGTGAATTTCCAGGTGGTAAAATACAGCATTTCTATCTCCCAAACTAAGTGCCCAGATTAATATATATATATATATATATGTATGTATAGTTTGCAAGGATTGTAAAATAACTCTTGCTACCCTGGGACAAAAAAAAAAATAAATGGAATACAAAGACATACATTTTTAGCTCAATCACTTTAGGGGCAAAACACTTTTTTTTTTTTAAATTGCTACTATACTGGGCTTATGAAAAAAATTATATTCACCCCAGATATTTGAGATCAAGAATTCATGCTTATTGGTTTGGTGGTAAATGAATCTTATTGGATACTGTCTAGTATATACTTATTTTAAATCTCTGAATTTACCTTAAATGCTGATGGATTGTTTCCTCTTGAATCCTCTCCTCCTTTTTGTATTCACTGTCCTGTAAAAGAAGCCACAATATTCATGTGTCAGAAGTGTTGGGAGGAAATATGTATATGAACCTGTATTAGTAGCAGTGTTATCAAACAGTAAAAAAGGTTTCTAATTAATTGCTTCAATGACATATTATTTTTTATTTCAGTCATTGCTTGTAAGATGTTCTGAAAAACTGCTAGGGACAACGGGCCTGTTCCAAACAAAGGGATTTTAACAGTTTGTACTCCAACTATTTACACAAATTGGACCCAGGGACAGGGAAACAGTCTCAGGCACTTTCAATACTCAGTAGAGGGACTTGACTCTTAAATTCTGTATTATGAAGGTCTCCCTAAATTTGGAAATGTATTCAATAGGTTGTTTAGCACAAAAGTGCTTGTCTGTATCCATGACCTTCAGAAAACAAAGCATAACTCTGGGACAGAAGCATCATCGTGTATGTTCTGTAACAGCTACTTGAATAAATTTCTAAGGAAGCCAAACCTTGAGCAAGCTCCTGGTAGAACTTTGTTGCCTGCCGCAGGGATCATTTATGGTGGGCCCCTACACTCAGGATGACTAATATTTTCACTAGAAAATATGTTTCTGCAATTTTATTTGAGAACTTTGTACATCTTCACTCTTTAGGCACTAGCCTAGATCATCTCAATAGTAATACATTCCATAAAACTTATCTGATTTGAAGAGTTACGGATTTCTAGGTATCCCTTCTCTCATTCTTGCAGAATGTTTATAAAAAACAGTAAAAAATGTCAAGGTTTTGATGAAGTCTTTAGGAAATAGCATCATGTTCTATATTAGAAACATAAAAGATGTGCTTCAGAAGTAGAGGCAAACCCCACAAGCATGAAGGGTCTACATTCACATGCCTACTTGTGAGTTAGGTGGATGTGCTCCCTTTATAGACAACATGGAAAATAGCTTCTATTAAAATCGTATTTTTTTATAGAGGCAGTCAATACACTTTACTGGGCCTCAAGCCTAATGACAGCTTCTCTTCAAGGTGTTTGTAAAAATTTCAAAAGTCATAGCAATAAAAAAATTTTTATAAGTAAAAGGTGTTTCTAACATCAGCAAGTTTCCTGATTAAACTTAATGGAAAGAATCAGCTCTGGATTAGGATACTTAAATACAGATGTAGTCTTTTAATCTACCACTTTAGCCTCCAATTTCAGAAAACGTTGATTTACAATCCCAGTATTTTTATTACTCTCCTATCTATGCTGCATCAAGAAATACAGTAAGCTATAATGTTTTAACAAAACCTACCTTTAGATCATGTTTCTTTCTTTCATTGTCTCTGCTTTTTATTCTCTCATTATCTTCTGCTGCTTGTCCTTCTCTGTCTCCATGGGAAGATCCCTCTTTAGACCTCCTCGATTTATGTTTTTCTTCCTCTTCCTTTCCATGCCGTTTGTGACTTCTCTCTTTTGAAAGCTTTTCTCTTTCTGGCCCAACAGAATGTTCTTTTTTTTCTCTGTGTCTTCTTTCTCCCTCTTTATCCAGCTCTTGATCCCTCTCTGACTTATGTACACGGTCACCTTCAACTTTGTAGGCTAAAAATTTGTCCATTTTCCTTCTTGCATCACTATCCTGGAAAGAGAAAAACAACATCAAAGGGTTAGAAAGTTCTCCAGGACTGTTTTATCTTCACAAATCTATCAATTTTTGACCATTGCAATGATGTATTTATAATTAATCTTTCTGTCACATGGATCTTCCAGTCACTTCTTTTTAATTTCCTATGATAGCAAGTTTCAAATTATGATAGCACTTGAGATTCTGATATTTCTTCTGGGACATTGCATATTTTGCTACAGAAAATTCTTTGGACTACATATTCTTCACACAGAAATTTAATTCTTTTTTTGATAGGTGGAATAAAATAAAGTAGGATGTATCAATTACCCTTGTAATAAGGTCATAAATAGCAAATGGAAAATTCGGATGTAACTGTACAAAAATGAAGCACTGTTTGCTATGAAAATATTATTTCATGTTTACTTTAAGGAAAAAAAATAAAGCACATCCTTAAAACAGAATAGCTGAGATATATTTTTGTGTGTTTTGTACACTTGTGAGCACCTTACTATGTATGCACCTCTAGGATTTCTTGGGAAATGGAGTCTGATCCAGTTTCCTCATTATTCTACAATTTTATCTTATTCTGTTATGAAACATTTCACTACTTTTCCTTCCTTTACCTTCTTTTCTTTATGTCTTCTCTCTTGCTCTTCACTTCTTGTTTTTTCCTCCTCTAGAAAACAGATGTATAAGTTAAGGAACAAACTTTGTAATACTCAAACTCTGTACATAATTCAGCATATAGAAAACAGTATTTCAGTGGCATGTGTTTTCTCTAAAACAAAAGCTTACCAAAAAGAAATTAATATTCTGTTGAAATTCTCTCTCCAAAGCTGGTTACTCCTTCTTCTTTCCTAATGAATCCCTCTGTTCTCAACTGTCTTGTGGAATGGTAGGGGTAATGGTACATGCTACTAACTTCAGCAGTCACCCTGCAGGTTGGGGATCCAAATGGATCACTCAGTGGAGAACGTCTGGGCAGGAAGGTTCTTGTTCTCTTCAAGTCAACTGACCAGCAAAATCAGTGACATTCATCCTCAGTTCAGAGGAAGGAAAACAAGCATCACTTTTTTTTTTTCTTTTAAAGCACCAAAATAAAACTAGGTTACCAAAAGGTTCTGTAAAGATACACGTCAGTAGGCATTCACACCTACCTGTCTTGATGCTCTCTATACAGATGGGGTGTGGATTCAGACCATTCCTATCCAAATATCAGTTATTTCCAAGGACAAAAGCAACCTCAAGCAACTTACCCAAATGATGCCTGCTTTCTCTTCTTCTGTGATGTTTTTTATCTCCTTCTTCAAATGATTTCAGACTGTTTTGTGTATCTGTTTGCTTTATCTCATGTCTCTTATGCTTTTTGTCTCCTCTATCACTCTCCCTATCTTTATGTTTGTGAACACTGTATCTTTCCTTCTCCAAATGGGACTCTTGAAGCTTATCTTCGTATCTCTCTCGGTCTCCTCTCTGGTGTTCTTTTCCCCTTTCCCTCATTTTATCCCTGTCTCTCTCACTGGATTTAAGCCTCTCTCTCTCTCTTGTCCTTTCCTTGCTCTTCCCTCTGTCTTTTCGTTCATGTTTATGAGTGTCTGTGTCGAGAACAGACCTATCTTTCTGCAGTTTCTTTTCTCTGTGCTTTTGGTCTTCATTTTGACTATCTGGTTGTGATGCCTGAAATTAAAAAAAAAAAAAATAAAATCTATTATTATAATTCAGCAATCTCTTTTGATATTAGTATATTTGTGTGGAAAAAAATAATTGGTGGGTTGCTAAATGTTTATTTGATTTCCCAAATCTTATTAAAATGCTGATCTATTTCTAGGCTTACTTTGTAAAATTACTAACATTATATCTGTGGTTACTGTAAAAAGGACTAATAAATGGAATAATAGTAAGATAGATATTGGAAAGAAGCTTTTAAAAAATACAAAAAGAACCTAGTATGAATATCAGTGGTGTAGCTGACTGAAGCCTGAATGCCTATTTGACCAGCAGATAATGTAATTACCCAGTTTAAAAATGCATGACAAACACGATAGATGATGAAAATAAATACAATAGATAATATACATATAGGAATAATATATACATATAGGAATGTGAGTAAGTAGACATAAAGCAAATTCCAATGCTGTAAGGTAACAACATCAAGACTAGTAGAAATAAAATAAAATCACCTTAAGATGTTTCCTAAGTTCTTCTGATTTCCAGGTATCTTCTTTGGTCCTTCTCTAGAGCAGAAAACACAGAAGAGCCTGAGTAATTAATTTGCAGGGAGAAGGACATCATTTAATAACTAATAATATTTCAAAGGAAAGGATCAAGGTGTTTATGGCAAGTATCACTGAGTTTTTTCATGCAAACAGTAATTTGATTTAGCTCTAAGATCTATTTATAGTAAAGCTGACCTGACTGGACCTGGAAGAGGCCTAAAGTTCAGATTACATGTGTAAACTCACTGCCACATGAAATATTTGTATGGAGCACTGAAGAAAAAAAGCAAAAAGACAAAGAAACCAATCAAAGCACACGTGATGGCTGTTTCACAGGAGTGCTCCCTAGGTCATATTTCTTCTATCCTCATTCGCAGAGTTCCTGCCCTTGACTGCTTGGCTGCTGCTACAAAGACTAAACTAAAAAAATCATCTTGTTTGGGATCATTAAAGCAGGGGAGGAATTTTAATCTATTGAATCTTTCAACTAGTTCATTGGAGGATGATGACTATATCCAAAGTGATGTGATCAGGCTACCCTTATTCTCAAATTTAGACTTAACTGGTTACCAGAGATGATAATTTTCCCAAGTGAAGTGTCAACAAAGCCTAAAAAACTCAACAGAACTTGTGTGAGGGTAACCTGGAAGGAAGGGTATGTATGGGAAGAGAACAGAATGCTGTATTATAGCCTCAAATAGTAACCTATTATAAATCCCTAATATATATGATCATGTTTTGGTTTTAGACAATATTTAATTATATATCAGCAAAGAAAGAAAGAATGTAATGATGTTAACAGACTAAAACCAGCATAACCAACAGACAACATCAGATAAGGTTCCAGGATTTATTTCAAAGCTGAGGCAAAAAGCACTCAGCAAACATTCAGAGCTGATTCTCTGGCACCCAATAATATGCATTTGCCGGTTTTCTGGGGTGTGAAGATTTCACCTTCTCCCCACTACCAGCATCTGTTGCTTTTATATATGATGGTGTTTCACTTAAATCTCTGCTTTTGCAGGAGACTAATAAACACATCGAAAAAGACAGATATTTTATAAAGTTTAAAGAAACTTAATACCTTTGAGACCACTGTAAGCAAACATACATATAAAAAAATGTATAAAACAAGTTTTCAAAGGATTTTTCGACGTTTCTCAACTGTCCACTAATTTAGAAGTACTTACATATGTACCTATATACTCATTTAAATCCAGATTAAGATTAGTTATTTCAATGACACAGAGGTTTAACTTAATTCATCCACCTGAGAGCATTCAGCTCACATAAAATGCCACAGATTTACTGAATTCAAAACATGCTGTGAAAATTTTTACCATTTAAGAATCCATGCTTTAATCTAAACAGAAACCAGTCAGTGGAACAAGAAGCCTTGCTACTTCAGAGAAACTCCTCAAAGGAGATCAAAAGGCCTTTCTCCATTTACAAGTAGAAAGATTAGAGGTTTTCAGAATGTTATCTTTATTTTTTAACTAATTTAAGAACTCAGTTTACCACAGTTCTAAAGAAAAAGAAACCGAAGAGCAGGAAGAGAAATTTCTGTAGCTTTTAAAACAGAGAAAAATTCTTTATTTTTTACATACAAATATTTATCTTTCTTATTTCCAGTATGAGCTGCCAATTTGAGAGCCCTCAACTAGGTAAGGAGCACGAGTGATAGAAGAGAAACAGCACAAGGAGGGTTCCTCCTACTGTCTCTGGCTCTGTGGCACCAACACACCTGAGATCAGAGTTTAACTTCCCATCACAATTCATTAGTTCACCCCTTTTCACTAAAGCGGTGACTGATGCACCACAGTTACAGAAGCTGGATCTAAAAATTTCCAGAGGGATATTAATCCTCCACTTCCCAGCCTCTGCCCAGCCACTACTGCATTTTCTATGCACGTGGTTTTGTTTCCTTTATTCTGGAGCTCTACAAACTTTCCATAATTTAACACCTTAATGCGAAAGTGATGTGGGTTCCTGACAATGAGCGGTCAGGTGGGTATTAAACTGAGCATTAAACATATTTTTTATCTACAATGTGAAATACGGGGGGTTTTCCTTGCCTTCTGCAGGAAGGTGCGTGGCTGGTGCAGCCTCATCCCTGTGCTGGAGGGATAAGGAATTCCTTGGCCGCTCTTTGGGTGGGGGATTCCCGGGACAAACCGATCCCAGCAGAGCCGCGGGGTTCTCGGGGCCGGCACAGGACACACCGGCGCTGTGTCCTGCCCTCGTCCCCGGCATTCCCGTCTCGCCGCTTCCCCTCACCTTGTCCCCCTCCATGTGGGGGGTCCGGAGGCCGCGTCCGGCCGGGCCGGGATCGGGATCGGGAACAGGGATCGGGATCGGGGATGCGGGCGGCGCGTTCAGGCCCGCCTGGCAACCAGGGGGAGCAGCCGCTGGCCGAGCGATGGATGGCGCGGCCTGGGAACGCCGATACGGCTGCGGAGGGTTCCCTCCCACGGCGAGCCCCTGTGGCCCAGTCGGGATCCCGGGATGCGTCAGGAAGAGCGTTGCCAGCAGGTCGAGGGAGGTGATCCTGCCCCTCTACTCAGCCCTGGTGAGGCCACACCTGGTGTGCTCTGTCTGGGCTCCTCTGTCTGGGCGGGAGAGACGTGGAGCTGCCGGAGCGGGTCAGCGCAGGGCAGCGAGGGGGATGGAGGGACTGGAGCATCTCTCCCTTGTGAGGAAAGGCTGAGGGAGCTCTTCAGCCTCGAGAAGAGAGGACTAAGAGGGGGCCTCATCAGTGTGTATAAACATCTAAAGGGGGTGTGCCAAGGGGCTGGATCCAGGCTGGATCCTTGGTGCCAAGAAATAGGACAAGAGGCACTGGGCAGAAACTGATGCACAGGAAGCTCCATCTGAACACGAGGAAGAACTTCTTTACTGTGCAGTGACCATACACTGGGACACATTGTCCTGAGGGGGTGTGGAGTCTCCCTCACTGGAGATACTCCAGAACTGTCTGGACAAATCCTGTGCCATGTGCTCTGGGACAACCCTCCTGGAGCAGGGAGGTTGGACAAGATGACCCAACTCTCATATTCTAATGCCAGTGACTGTGGTACATCAATCACCTCTTTACTGAAAAAAGGTAAGTAAATTGTGAATGGAAGACCAGATGACCCACTGTGGTCCACTCCAACCTGGCCCATTCTGTGATTCTGAGCTGGGTTTCTGCAATTGGAGGGCTTGGACCTGGTGAGGTGGGGATGGGGCACACAGCCTGGCAGCCTTCAAGCGCTGTTGTTCTCCTCTTCAGTACCAAACTTTTATTAATTGTATCATGAAACCATCCCTCATCATGGCTGACCCACTTCTAGTAAAGTCGTGCACAATTACTGCAGGGAAAACAACAACAACAAAAAAAACCAAACAGGAAAAGAGTGAAAAGCTGAATCTGCCATTCACCCAGATGCTGGGTAGAGGCAGGTATGGAGAACACCTGTAGAAATAAATAAAAATGTTAATAATACTCCCCCAGTGACAATAGCAGAGCTGATCTCTGCAGCAAAACACAAGTGGCAACTGACCAAAGACACGTGGCAGGAGCTCAATCATTGCCTGCAGGAAAGGTGTGTTCCATTTCACAGCAAGTATTTACGACCTATTAACACCCGTGATTTAAAAGACCAGATGAAAATTCCTCTGGGTGCTTTTAACTTTGTTGCCCATTTTAAGATTGAAAAAAAAAAAAAAGGAAAAAGTTAATATGTAACTGCTACTGCTAATATTGATGTTTATAGAAAACTGACTACTGAGGGGGAAAAAATAACAAAGGAAGTGGAATTTTTGTATTTGAGAAACATTCTTGCCATAGTTCAAGGGAAGTTTATCATGCTGACTTCAAAAAGATAAAATTTAACCCCCTATACTTGGCCTTACATAGTTGACAAGTACATACAAACCCGTGGTACCTTGCCTCATATTCATGTTTCCAGAATACATTAAAAATGCTGTAAAAGTTGCCTCACAGTCTGAACTGTGAAATATTTTCCTTTATCATGTAGCAGAAAAGCAAATCAAGCATGTACTTATAACACAAAAAAACCCAAAACTAAAACAAAACAAAAAACTCACCTCAATATTTACCAAAAAAACCCCAAATCACAAACAAACAAAAACACACACAAAAGTCCAACCAAACAAAAATAACCACCAAACACACCACTGACTGTAAGTATGACATTTAGGGGCTAAATTACATCCACTAAGTATAAACATATATGGATACTAAACTATTTATAAACCTTCTTATGAATTATTTATCTGGTTTTGGCAGAACTATAATAATCTATAAGCAGCGTGGTTGGGGCAACCCCCAGTACTAACACAGGCTGGAGAAGGAACAGATCAAGAGCAGCCCTGCTGAGAAGGACTTGGGAGTTCTGGTGGACAAGAGGCTGGACATGACCCAGCAATGTGCACTCACAGCCCAGAAAGCCACCAGCTGCGTCCTGGGCTGCATCCAAAGCAGGGTGGGCAGCAGATCGACGGAGGGACTCCTGTCCCTCTGCTCTGCTCTGGGGAGGCCCCACCTGCAGAGCTGCCTCCAGCCCTGGGGGCTCAGCACAGGAGTGAGATCCACCTGTTGGAGACAGTCCAGAGGAGGCCACCAAGATGATCAGAGGGATGGAGCACCTCTCCTAGGAGGAAAGGCTGAGAGAACTGGGATTGTTCAACATGGAGAGGAGAAGGCTTTAGGGTGACCTAATTGTGGCCTTCCAGTACCTGAAGGGAACCTGCAAGAAAGATGGACCTTTTACAAGAGCATGTGGTGACAGAACAAGGGGAATGGATTCAAACTAAAAGAGAGCAGGTTTAGATTAGATATTGGAAAAAATTGTGTACTGTGAGAGTGGTGAGTCACTGGAACAGGTTGCTCAGAGAAGTTGTGGATGCCCCATAGCTGGAAGTGTTTAAGGCCAGGTTGGATGGAACCCTCAGCAGCCTGGTCTGTGGAAGGTGTCCCTGCCCATGGCAGCAGGCTTAGAATTATATGGTCTTTAAGGTCCCTTCCAACCCAAATCCTTCTATGATTCTATGACTTTAAATCTGCATCCCTGAACAAATAAGCCTTACAAGGCTTCTTGAAGTAATTCAACAAGCTCTTTAGCCCTATTAGAGTACACTAGTTGGGCAGCTTTGAGAGGAAAATTACAGATGTGGTAAAGTGCCACTAGGGGGTTTGAAAAGAACTTTTCAAAACTTAAGCCCTGGGATCAAACTGATATTAACCTGCTGCATCATAGCTGGAATAACACCTTTGGAACAACACTACTAAAACTTGTGCGTGTTTAAATGTATTAAAATAAAGTTGCTGACTAGTGTAGTGGGAAAAGTTAATAAATCAGTAGTTTTACTGTTTTTGTAAAAATGGGTGTGAGAGTCCAGGAATACAGGCAATAAAATGACACAAACCTGTTGTATAAAAGGACAGCATAAAAGGATGCCCTAGATTTTCTTTCCAAGGTGAGTGTTGTAAAGAAGGGGTTTGGCAGCCCTGGGAGTTTTAATACAATTTTTCTACATGTTCTTCTCTTGTCTGGCTTGGTACATATATATTCTTCTCCACCAGCATTGTTATCTGGAAATTGGGAATATAAAATAACTCAGATTTTTATATTATGTAGTAATAGGCTTTTCTTTGTTTCTCTCTATCCTTTTTTGTCTGTGGATGTTTCTCTAAGTCTATGAAGCAAGGTTGCTTTTTTTCTCACCTTTGTATGGAATGACAAATGACAGCATTACACCAAAAACTTGCTGGAAATATCACCCCTCAGAGGGACAACATGGCAGAGCTCCAGGATACTTAAAAGTCATGATTTTTTTAATGATAAAAAAAGAAAAAAAATATCTTTTTGTATGAAAGAAGAAATTTGTTAGGATATAGGCTTTGTAGCTTTTTCTCCCCCTTTTCTTAACCAATTTCTGCTGAGGCTTTTTGAAGATGGGAAGAAAACTCAAATAACTACTATCAGCAGCAGTGCATAGACGACCTCTTGCAAAGTGTCTAAAAAGCTTTTGTTAGTCCTCCAAGCTCATAAATAGAAACAGGAAAAAAACGCGGATCTCTGAGGTAAAGTTTGTGTCTCTAGTTTAGAACTAAAACTTGGAAGAATCCCATAAGGAGAAAAAAAAAAAAAAGGAGAATGTAATTATTGTGAAAACTTACTAAGAGGCACATCTTAGTGGAAAATATTTTTGTCTTCAGGAACAATAAATATTTGAGGATCTTGTCTGAAGAGTAGAATTTATGCATTCAGTGAAACTGATACCAGACTGGGTGACACCAGAGATCAGGCATTTATGGCTTTGCTTCAAACAACAGAAGCTCAGGTATTGTAGAGTCCTTTGACTCTTCTTTGTGTTATATATTAGATAATTTGAAGCAGACAGAAAATATTTGTGCTCTATACTAGATAATCTGAAGCAGGTTGGGACAGCTGGATAAAATCAAACACAGAAAGTATTCCATCACGAGAATCTACCAGGATGAAACTCCCTGTAAACTATGTTTTCATTAATAATTCAATTTTTATTTTTCTTTTAGGAAAAAAACCCTGAGGAAACATTTATATTCAATAAAGATTTCAATAGCTAAAAACCTCTAGAGAGAACCATTAGACTGAAATAATGCTGCTGAGTAAAATAAGGTGTAATACCAAATACTGTGCTTCAGGAAGATTAACTGTTACTGAAAATGGTCCAGAAGTATCAATTAAAATTGCTTCCAAAACATGTTTTCTTGTCTTAAATCCAAAGGAGTAGCGGTTTTCTTTCTCATCATATAAATTGAATGTTGCCAGTTTTTCCCATCCTCAGAAACCCAGATGTAAAAATGAGTTATTCTTCAGAATAACTTCTTTTTGGAAGGTATTCTGAAAAACAGTGCCAGTACTTACTGGGGAAAAAATTATGATGGCAAACTGGTGTGATGCAAGAGAAAGATAAATGTAGGACCACGCTGCTTTGACTGCAACAAAAGCTACTGAGTTTGAAAAAGCAAAAATGAATCCATTAAAAAGGAGAAACAAACACATATGCCTAAGAATGGATATAAAGGAGTATTGCAAGCAAAAAGTATTAATTAAAATTCTAAAAAAGAAAAAGACCTACAAAAGCAGGATATGAAAGGAATAAATATTATCTAAATAAGTTAAATATAATCAGCTCTGCAGCTGATACAATTGACTATAGGAAAGTCAGAGTAGTCTCTGGGCTATAAATGATTGTCTTCAAGAGTTCCTGATGCACTGAAGACTGCTATCATAAATATTTAAAAATAGGATCAGGAAACGTGAATTACAATTCCAAGATTCTTGTACAAATTATTAGACAATTTATCAGCACCAAAAAGATTAGAATAAACAGGTGTTTACCCAGAACATTTTATGAAAAAAGGAGTAACTGGCCCTAATTTATCCCCTGGCAGCAGAGTTTATATCTTGATTTTAACAAGGCTCTTTTGTGTCTATCAAAACACTGGGTATGCTAATTTCATACCACCCAGTTTCTTCATCCAAACACTGTGTGGGCCCAAGTGAGTTATCTACACAAGTCAGTGGTTACCTCTTTATCAGAACTTTCTACTGATGTTACAGATAAATGTTATCAAATTCATGCTACAGGATCTTGCTT